CTCCCTATTACCCTATACGAGGGATATTATTACTCTTGTGGCATTAACTTAAGTTAGTTCCTCTATTTCCTGACTGATATCTTTCCTGCTATTACCAGTGTCAAGTAGCTCCAAATCCCATCTTTTCTGACTCATTGCAATCCCACGTGAGCAGAAGAGAATCATGTTCCATACAATTTTCATGAATCCGTTCCTTTGAAAGCAGAAATCCAGACTTTTCTTCTAGATGTTTCTGGGTGGATTTAGGCTGTCCCCTTGAGTCCAGCTCTTAGCCATTTGTGCAGCTCAGGATCTTCTTCTGGTAGCATGATGTCCAGCACATAGAAGGAAATCATAATATGCCACATTGCAAGGCAATTCTGTACTGTGGTAATTAAGCTTGGTTAGAGAATAAGAGTAAGGATTTGAGTCCCTTAACAGAGAATAAGTTTATTCAGCAACTTCAAGTGGGTACAAAACATAGGGACACCACCATTTTGTGTAGGTTAAAGGAAACCATGATGAGTATTGTGACCAGAAGATTGAGAACAGGGAGCTTCTTATTCTCTCAGTATTTCTTATGACTCCCTGCCCTGGAACCCAGAGCTAGCCTCCTTTAACAAAGCAGCTTGAAGTGGAAATGCAGAGGAAAGGTGAAAAGGTTAGGGGCATTTGTGATCTAGCTCACCTACTTTACTTGGGAAGAAGGAGCATTGTATAAATGTCTATCCTTGGAGTGTTTCCTGTGGGCCAGAATGAGGAAAAAGCATATTGTGTGTAGTCTCATTTGATCCTAACAGCAATCCATGATATGCTTCTGTTAGCTGCACTTTATAAGTAATGAAACTGAAACTATAAATGAGTCCATGCATTGCTCAAGGTGGCTCAGTTGTAAGAGACGTGTACAGGATTTAAACCCAGACCTGATTTGATAGCCTGAGTTTAAGATATCTTTACTAGGCTACTCTAGGGATTCTTCCTCCCCACTTACGTGCAAGTTATAGTTAACATTGAGAAGAATGGGAATCCCAGAGCACTTAATTGTGTTTGTGAGAAGCCTATACCTAGACTGGGAGGCTGTTGTGTAAACAGAGCAAGGGAACATTATATGGTTTAAAATTAGGAATGGAATGTGTCAAGGTTGTATTCTTTCTCCATACTTATTCAATCTGTATGCTGAAAAAATTATTAGAGAAGCTGAACTCTATAAGAGAAATGTGACATCAGGATCAGAAGATAACCTTCATTATGCTTCATTATTCTTCAACAACCTGCATTATGCAGATGACACAATCTTGCTTGCTGAAAGTGAGGAGGCCTTGAAGTACTTGTTGCAGAAGATCAAGGAATGCATTCTGCAGCCTTCTATATGAATTGCACCTCAATGTCAAAAGAACAAAGATTCTAACCACTGGACAAAAAGGCAACATCATGATAGATGGGGAAAAGATTGAAACTGTCAGAAATGTTATCTTACTTGGGTCCACAATTAACACCCTTGGTACCAGCAGCGAGAAAATAATGAGATGCATTGCACTGGGAAAACCTGCAGTTAGGGACCTCTCCAAATTATTGAAAGATAATGAGTTTGAGCATTAAGGTGCATCTGATTCAGGCCATGGCCGCTCTGATCACTTGCTATGCATCTGAGAGCTGGACAATGAATAAGGATGACAAAAGAATAATTGATCCCTTTGCACTGTGGTGTTGGAGAAGAACACTGAGCATCCCATGGACAGACAAAAGAACAAACAAATATGTCTTGGAGAGGATGCAGACAAAATAAAGATGATGAGGCTTCTCCCCGCATACTTCAAGTATGTTGCTAGAAGGGACAATTCCTTGGAGAGGGACACTATGCTCAGAAAGGCAGAGGATCAGCAAAAGAGAGGAAGAATCCTGACCAGGTGGATTTACACGATGACTGCCACAATAGACTTCAGTGTGTCAAAAAGTGCAAGGATGGCACAGGACAGGACAGGCAGGGTCCATAGGGTCACCATAGTAGTTCTCAATTCAAAAGCACCTAACAATGACAACTTATGTACTGGAAGGTCATACTGGGCCACTCCATGTAGACCTGAATAAGGCTAGAAGACCATGGTGCTCATTCTTTAGAAATTCTGTCTCTTTGAGGTTGGGATAAAGATAGAGAGATATTGATCCAGAAACAGTGATGTGGGTGAGGCCTTTAATTGTTACTTTCTCCCAAGGATGAGAAGGATGGACAACCTCCTCCTGTGTGATTTACTTCCTTTGAAAACCCACTAGAGGAAGGGTGAGATTTGGGTGGGTTATGACTCACCAGCACACAACAACAATTAAGGATGAAGTCACTCATTCCCACCTTGTCAAATAGTTTCTTATATCTTTTCATAAATACTTAAGGGTATATTTTAGAGAAAATTGATATTTAAAGAAGAGTTTAGAAGCACAAGGAAGATAAGTTGGTGAGAAAATGTCACAGTCAGTTGCTAGCTGCCTTCCCTTTCTTGACAATGTGATGACAAAATAATGTACCTGATAAGAAATGCTCCATAATTGACAAATGCAGGTGCAGACTTAGCTATTGCTGGAAGTGAGACAATGACCAAACAGCTTCATACATATCATCTCCTTCAGCCAAACACAAATAAAATCGAATGAGTTGCCATGAAGGCAACACTGACTCATGGCGACACCATGTGTACCAGAGTAGAACTCTGCTACACAAGGTTGTCATGACTGATTTTCAAGGCTTGCCTTTCAAGACACCTTAAACAGGATTAGAACCTCCCACCTTCTGGTTATTTGCCAATGACTTAATCAGGCACACAATTCATGGACTCCCTCCATTTCCAGCATCTTCTTGTTGTTAGGTGCTGCTGAGGGAACTATAACTCAGTGACCCCATGGACTACAGGTCTGAACCTAGTCCTAACTTATACCATCCTTACCATCTCTGATATGGTTAAGCACAATGTGACACATCTTTTTGAAGGTCTTCCTCTTCCCTCTCATTAAAAACAAAACAAAACAAAAACAACCTCACAAAAAAAACAAAATAAACAAACAAAAAACTCTCCATAACCTTGGCATTTTAAGGAAGCCTTTAAAGGAGGTGATAGAAGTTAAAAGGAATGTTGCATCTTCTCTAAAGAAGTTGTTGTTGTTGTTATGTGCCATTGAGTCAGAATCAACTCATAACTGACCTTCAGCTGGTTCTCAGGAACGATTAGGTCACAAGGGAGGAGACTGCCCATTTTTCTCTCGCAGAGCAACTTGTGGATTTGAATGGTGTTTTTTTTGTGTTGGTGATGCAACTCCTTACCACTAAGTCACCAGTGCTCTCTAAAACTTGTGAAGTCCATCTGTAATTGTCTTCTGTTGAAGGACTTAACTCTCACTAGGGCACATTCTGAACTATTACTGTTAACGAGCTTTGTGACTCAGATCAAGTACCTTCTGCTTCCTGGGTCATTTGTAAAATTTTGATAGGTTGGGAACAGAAGATCATCAACCTCCTATTCTGTTCCACCATATTTGTATTGCTCATCAAAAAACATGTCTACAACACCTTTCTATTCATAGAATATAGTCATCTTTTTCTTAACTATCCAGAATGTTGTAAAGAAAGAAGTTAATATTTTATGATCCAATTAATGTTAGATGATCTGTTGATCAAGAATTTTCTCCTCCTTCTCTCTCTTCCTTCTTTTTTTCCATATGTAAGGAAGAAATTCTTTTCATCTGCAGACAAGGTGGTCGAGGTACAAATAGGTGAAGTTATCTGTCTAGAGTCACATGGATGGCAATTGAAAAAAGGCAGAGATGGAACTTAGATCCATAGTGTTCAAGGGTAGGCTTAACTCCACTCTCCTGAGACTATAACTTCATGGGTGTGGGGATAGAATTTTCTCCAAACTTTTCTTAAGAAGAACATAGCTTACCCTCAAGCAGGAATGGGTAAGCTAGGGCTCATCAGCCAATTCTAGTTTTCATCTAATTTTGTAAATAAAGTTGTATTGGCACTCAGTCAGATTCTTGTGTTTACATACTGTTTGTAACTGGTTTTGAGCAACAACAGCTGAATTGAGTAATCCTGGGAGAGACTGCATTCCTGCAGAACCCAAAATATTGACTCTTTTGCCAGTTCATGGCAAGGCCACCCCACCCTACATCTACCTTCACCTCTAGTCCTTCAAGGAGGAAAAAAGTATCATCATAGTGTTCCTGGAATTCTACTTCTTGACTTGACTGTGCAAGGAGAACATTTCTGCTCAAACTTTTTTCCTTTTTAATTTTTATTGTGATTTGCATGAAAGTTTAGAGAGAAAATCCATTTTCCATGCAACGGTTCATCCACAAATGTTTCCTACACGTATTATCGGTGGGTCACAACCTCCCATTGCAACAGCATTCTTCGTGTTTCTTCTCTGGTTTTCCCATTTCTCTTCATTCTTCATTCCTATCCCTTCATGATTTCTGAACTTCTTCCCTGAGCAACTGCCACCCTTTTGAGTTGTATGTGGTGTTATTGATAATCTTATTGCTTTGCCTAGGTTGAAAGTTGACTCCTGGGTGTGACTCCAGCTTAAGAATTGAAGGATGACTGAATGCCATAATGTTGGATGACCAATAAGCCTGACTTTTAAATTTTTTTAAATTATTTTAAGTTTTGTTCTTAAATGTTTTATGCATGTATGTAAATAATTAGTCAACAGTCTCAGTGTACCTGTCAGCTGGCTGAGTTCATGTTTTCATTGTGTTTTTCCAAGGAACTTCGTCATGGGGAAATAGAAATATCCATTTGGGGGAAATTGCTCAGGAGTAGGAGGGAGGGAATCAGTTGCGACATTGCTGTTTCGACACGCCTCAGAGTTGAAAGTGACAAAAGTGAGGGCTTCTATTTTCGGAAATGGACATTTCCGTTCTCAGAGGACAGGGCAGCAGCATCTCCCCTGGGTGAGCAGTCACCTTCTTTATAAGCAGCTCCCATGGGACGGACATGGCAGTCTCTTTTGTCTTGCTGATACCACAGGATGGAATCCTTTAAGTGTCCTTTCAGTCCCCTAATTTCTCTGATCCTTCTCCTGTTCCATTCAGAGGTTTCCTGTGGCCCTGCACAAAGAAGACTCTACAAGATGCAAACCTTCAGGTAAGGCAACTCTTGAGGAGGTGGGGTGACTGTTGAAGAATGGGGATGTGCCACAGCTGTGTGGGCTGCTGGGCACTGAGGGATTTGGGGCCTGGGTTTGGGCTGGAGTAGGGGGCTGAGGTTGTGATTTCAAGAAGAGGCTGCCACATACACAGTCTTCAGAGCTTGTCTTCCAAAAGACAGAGACTTCTCAGCAGAGACTTGTTTTCTGGCAGCTCAAAGAGGACTCAACCCAGGCCAGGCACTGGGGCTGGGACCTGGTGACCAGACAGTGTATTGGGTGTAGAAGCAGAAAGAGGGATGAAGGGCAGGCATCCAACTGTCCACAGTCCAACATGCCAGGGGGAGTTAGACAAGGCTTGTCTGATGGTGACACAATGTGAAAACAAAATGTAGAAACAATAGTGGAATGTGAAAATAATAGTATAATGTACAGATAATAATGTAATGTGCAGATAATAGCTCTGTACATGGAAAACTACCATGATGTTTAAAAATTGGACAAGAATCTTGGTCAGATATTTTGTTGTAGAAATGATGGTTTGATAAGGGGAACTCTGGTTGAGGGCTCTCCATTCCCTGTGACAGCCCAAGAGTGAAGTCATGCCCGACTGAGTGACTAAGCGAATGATGTCACCATTTCATATCACCCTCTCTCTGGCTGGGCCTTCATGGGCACAAGCACGCACGCATATGCCACGAGGGCCCCTTCCCCACTCTCCACTCCACTCCAGGAAACTGCTGCTTCACAAAGTTTCCTTCAACACTTAGAACCAAATCAAACTGTTTCAGTCATGGCCAACAAGGAGAAATCCGAATAGACTCCAATTTTTAAAAGTCAGAGGAAGTGGAACTATAACTGAAAGGGGAATATTATTGTTTGAAGCTCTGGAATAAGAGACTCAGGAGTAGATAATGGAGGGGCTTTTCAAGAGCCTAATATGGAAAAATTGGGTTATTGTTCAGGACTCTAGAGCACAACAGACATTCAGGGCAAAATGGTGAGCTGCCGTCTTTGCTGGACACCCTTGTTTCCAATGGATCAAAAGATTTAGTTGCTATGTACCATTTATGCTGCTCTTATTTTATAAATGTGAGGTTAAATTTCTTAGCAGAGTAATTTTTCTGTTATCATACTGATTCATCCATATTTTACAATTTGGATTCTATTAATCAGCAATTAATAAATCAGGAGAACAAGATTAAAGCTCTTTTTTTGATCACTTGCTGACTCTCAATCACCTAGGAGCTCCTAGAAGTCTATCTACTCTCTCCATCACTATTACCACCACCAAGCACATGTGTGCACGTGCGACACATACACACCCTCCCCCCCACCACCACCACAAACACCAACGACAATAAAATCACTGCCACCAAGTGCATTCCACCTTATGGTGACTAGATAGACTAGAACTCTCCGTGACCTTAAAAGGCTACAACTCTTTACTATCAGAACACCTTCAATGTACTTCAAAGGATGTTTAATCTTCTTAGACATATACTCATATAGGGAACTAAGAATAACTTCAAAAGCTCAAATACATATGCAATTTGACTTCTAACCTAAGGCCTTGCAATAGCACTGACTCCTGCTCCTGGCTACCATACATGTTACAAAGTAAAACTTCTTCGTAAAGTTTTCTTGGTTGGAATTGTTACAGCAGCAAATTGCCAAGACTTTCTTCCATGGCACAATAAGTGGGATTATATATCAACCTTTAGGATCATAGTTGAGTGCAAACTTTGGCGATACCCATGGTGCAATTGGTTAATGTGCTCAGGTGATAAAGCTAGAAGGATCAAGTCCATTGAGATATACTTCAGAAGGAGTGCTTGGTGGTCGACTTCTGAAAATCGATCATGGAAAACCTTGTAGAGCAGACACACACACAGGGTCGCATAAGGTTAGAAAAGCACTTGGTATATATGGTGTGTATGCTAAGCTAAAGGTTGTTGGTTCTCGCCAAGTCATAGTGCTGTAGAGGAAAACTCTGGGAATCTGTTACCATAAATATTACAGCCAAGAATATCCTGTGGTTCAGTTCAACTCTAACACATATGGAGTCCATGTTTTGGAACTGACTACAGGCAACAAATTTCAGGTTTGGCAAAGCACTTCTCCACTGGCTCAGCCCTGTGAGAGCTCACAGGCTCCTCAGAGAAACCTGGTGGGAGAGGAGTTGTTAGCACACTGCATATGAGAGAACCTAAGGGATCAAGATGACGCTAACAGGTGACTGGGGTGTAGGGCCACTTCTTGACAGGTCCTACTTACTCCATTTCTCAGCTACAAGCCCTACTCAGAAGAAACAAAGTCTTTTCTCAAGAAGAAAGATCTGGACACCAAACCCAAGAACCACTGTGAGCTGAAGAGGGAACCACTCGCAGTGAGATGGCTAGTATTGTGACACCTGGCTAGGGAAGGGCTCTGAGGCAACATGTTAAATACATGATACATGAAAGACGTATGGTCCTGCCAAAAAAAGCTCAAGGCCGTCAAGAAGATTTGTGGTAACCCTGTAAGACAGAGTAGAGTCACCTCACAGTGTTTTCAAGGCTGTAATCTCTACAAAGGTGGAGTCACACTGTCCTCACATGAAGTGACTGGCGTTTTGAACCATTAACCTTGTGCTTAGCAGCTGAGCACTTAACCACTGCACAGCCAGGGCTCCTTCACTGGCTCGCACAAGTTACAAAGTTGTACTGATTGTAATGACTATAGTTAGAATACTCTCAAGTGGCTATTCACATTTTCATTCAAATATTGAATTAGTGTAGAATAAAATGGAAAATTCAGATCCTCTCACTCACTGCTTCTCTTTTCAGACCTTAACAATGCTATAGGGCTAGTTGGTTACAGTCATGTACAGTGATGATTTAGAGCATTTCCATCCTCATTGGAAAGTTCTATTGCGTAGAACTGTTCTAGATTAGGACCTGCTGAAACAGAAGGTGTTTGCTCTGGGACTCTGAACATGAGGGTCAAGATACGAAGACAGGCAGAATATGGGTTCACTGTTTACTAGCAAGCGAGTTCTGGTGGTCTGGTGTAAGGAGTTACACTGCCAAGCCAAAGAATGAAGTTCAAATGCACCAGCTTCTCCACGGAAGGAAGATGGATCTCCTCCTCCTGTGCAATTTACCACCTCTGAAAATCTGCTATTAATCAGCTCTAACTCAATGCTACAGAATAACAGACCACTAACTAGTAGGGAGCTCTAGCTGCATAGTAGTAGGGAGTTGTGCTCCCAGCTCAAAGGTATATGGTTTAAATCCACCAGCTGTTTTACAGGAGAAAGATGAGGAATGTCCTCTTGTGCAATTTATAGCCTCTGAAAACCTTCTGGAGGATGATCTATGAATCAATTCTGACTCAATGGTGTATCACAATAACTTAGTAGCAGTGTGAGTGTACTTAATCTCTGAAACATTCTCAGCCTCAGTCTCCTCATCTGTGAAATGGGTGAGTCAGTGTGCATACCCATATCAGAGCTGGATTTCAAGTGAGTGAGCTTTGTGGAAATCAAGATGTTGGGCCATGGGGGCCAGACTATCCACTGTAACTGGGGCCTTCTGTTTTTTAGAATCTGGGATGTAAACCAGAAGGTCTTCTACTTAAGTAATAACCAACTAGTTGCCGGATACTTGCAAGCAGCCAATGATAAATTAGAAGGTGAGTGATTGGAAGGAAAGTCAACATTACATGGGCAGTAGGTCACTTTGCTGCATTTTCAGAGAGTCTGCTATATTGTGGTCTACACTGTGAAGTGTCAATGCGATTTTTCAATCCCTGTTGGGTTTGCGTACTGAGTTTGGAACATGTGAGGCTTGGTCCCTGGATCCCAGGCTTACATGATCATAGTCTCAAGGAGACAGGACTGATGGAGCCCAGGTCAGGAGCCCCACCCACAGACAGAGCAGTCCCAGGGCCACAGCTGAGAGAGGCCACGGTCCACAATATAACATTTGTCTTTACCTTCTTCCTGAGCCTATTTATCCTTCCATGTTCCTGTGTGATTCAATCTCACTTTCTACCTCAAATTAACACACTCCATGCAGGCTAGGGTGTGTTCCTTGTCTGTGGATACCACACTCAGTTAGGCTCCTGCACAGGCCCTAACCAGCTGGCAGGCTTGGACAAGCTTCACCTGCTTTATTTTTCACTGTCCCATTAGCAAAATGAAGGCAATCAGATGACTTGATCTGAGGTTTATGCAGCATCAGCATTCTAAGATGGTACCATGTCCCTGGAGCTGACTGGTAGTGGAAAAGAGTGTCTCCATTCCCGACCCTTCAAGCCCCTTGTTTTCTCAGCTGCCTGGCTTGGTCAACGAACACAACCTACTTCTTCTGCCCTTCTTGTCATTCTCCTAATGAAATGCTCTAAAGCACAGAGAAACAGATAACTATTTCTTCATGGAAGTCACTGAGGGATTAGGTGCATGCAGTCACCCAGGCCTCTGAGGACCAGGTCTGAGGTCCCACGTATGACTCTGTGCTATCTCCCTGCCTCGTGGGCAACACATCTGTTAACCTTGCAGCAGTCAAATATCCCGGGAAGGGAGGCAATGACAGAAACCAGGGATTGCACGATATTGGAGACCATAATTGAGAAATAACTAAATCATGTGTTAGGTTTGAGCTTAATTTTGGACCTAGTCCAGGAAAATAGTGTCTCAACATTTTTATGTTATTTTGAGTTTTTAAATGAGGGGAGGGGACAGAAAACTAGCCCAAAAATAGTCCAGACTGCTGTCTCTTCCCACCTCTGCCTCCTCTTCTCCCTATAACCTGACCATTGACCTTTCTTCTTCCCCAGAGAAGATAGAAGTGATGCCCAATGAGTCTCATAATGTGTTCCTGGGAGTCCACAGAGGGAAGCTGTGGCTGTCCTGTGTCAGGTCTGGTGATAAGATGGCACTCCAGTTGGAGGTAAGGACCTTTTTCAGATATCAGACCACATTGTAATCACATGACACTGTGGGTAGACGAGGATTACATGGGCAGTTCTGTTCTACGCCATGGAGCTGGGATGCCTATGGCTGCATTAAGGCAAGGAGATTGGCTGGGGCCAGGCGGACAAGATGCCTTCTCCTCCAGGCCCTCTGTCCACATGGCCTCTGATTTCAAGGTAGTCAGTCTGAACTTCCTTACAACATGGCAGCAGTCTGAAAGGAAAGCCCTCCTTGTGCATCGACACTGATGATGTCCTCTGACCAAAGTTATCAATTGATTCAGTCCTAAGTTAATAAGAAAGGGGCTACACAGGGCATAAGCACTGGAGGATTTCATTAATTGGGGATATCATAGCACTTCATGCCTTAATGTTCCTTAATCCCATGTAATATTACTGACGGTCCAGCTCTGGGATAACAGAACTGTTTCAGGGGTTGTTGGAGTAGATCATAACCCAAATCTGAGTGTCTAGAATGGTGGCACTGTCTCTCCCCTCCAGACCAGAGGGGCAATTTTGGAAAGTGTGGACTAGGGACAACCAAAAAAATAAGCTGCAATAGTTTTCACTTCTCCTGTGCTCAGCCTCTGAGGCTCTGACCTAGACATAGCAATAGTCTTCTTATACTAGAAGATATTTGCTAAATGAATTTGTCCCAGCCATTGTGACTAGGCCATCAAAGTAAAAATGTGACAATTGATAGCTCTTTATGTCATTGTGTTCCTGGGACATGTCTCCAGTGGCCAGAGGACCATGTGATAGGTGGAGTATACAAGGCAGGTCCCTCCAGACCCTCATATTTTACTTGTCCTTGTCTTTGCTTCCAGGACATTAACATCACCGACCTGGTCAGGAACAAGGAGGAGGCCAAACGCTTCACTTTCATCCACTCACAGAATGGCCCTACCACCAGTTTTGAGTCAGCTTCCAACCCTGGCTGGTTCCTCTGCACAGAGTCTGAAGGGGATGGACCCGTCAGCTTCACCAACAAGCCCAGAGATGCCACCAAGCTCACCCAGTTCTACTTCCATGAGGAACCATAGTGCAGCTCATCATTATACTCCACTCCCACCTCATGGATGACTATGGGGGCTGCCCCCCCCCCACGTTGCTGCTTGAGGGTCTCTTGGCTGTCTTGAAGCAGGGGCTTATTTTTGGAAGAAGGTGTAAAGCTGATTCAGTCTCCATGCTTCCTCCAGAAGTATTTCTACAATGTAAACCTGATCATAACACTCCTTTGCCAAAGTTCTTCATTGTCATATGTGCATCCAGGATAAAACCTAACTCCATCTGAGCCCTGTCCTCTCATCCAGCCTGGTCAGCCTGTTCTTCCCCCAGCTCCTCCTCACCCACCACATGCCCATGTCCCTAGTGTTTCATACTTCTCTCTGCTCAGTACCAAGTGGCTCCACAAGTCTCTTTTTCAAATTGATGCTCATTTATGACAAAAGTTTTTAAAGGTCTATGGAGAAATGGAAAAGAAGGATTTTCATGAAAATGTTATCCCTTCTGAAGGAGAATTGGTAATGTCCTTTCTGGGAAAATATAGCAGTGAAGAATGAACAAGTTCTTACACTTGTAGAATGATAATGAAAGTTTATATTAGCACTCATTTTATGTTTTCTGTCATTTATTTTTTTTTTAATTTCACAATATGTACGAATTTAAAAAGCACATTCCAATCTGTTGTTCATAGGATTGCTGCGAGTCATAATGCATAGTGTAATCGTAGTCACAGCAACTAACAACAATAGACTATGGTATGTTAATTTTGTTTCTAATTTCTGAAATGTTCCTGTAAGTCTGGGCCCTGTCACCTAGGACCTTGAACACCACTTACAAATTCAGAAATACTTTCCTTTCCCCATCTCTGCCCTAAAATGTCAACAGCTCTTTGGTCCACCCTCTTTATGAACTCTCAAGAGGGATGAGTTGCTTCTTGGTCATTTCTGAGTCTTGTATGACCAGTGACCATGCGCTCCCCCGCCCCCGACTAGAAACTCCTGAGGACAGTACATCTTCTGTGTCTGAAGTGCTGGTGGGACCAAGCGGATGGCCTAGCCCTCAACAAGATACTCAGTATTGAGTAGGTTTCCAGTCCCATGATACTTAAGATTTGTTTTACAATAAAACCTTGAAAATGGCACTTATTTGGTTGGCTGTGCTCATGACCTCATGGACCTGGGACATAGAGAACTGGGGAGATGACGAGGCAGCAGGTCAGTCCCAAGTGAAGCTGGGGCCTTGGGCTCTTCTCAGTCCTCATTCTCTCATCTGACTGAACCCTCCTCAGGTAATGTGAGCATAGATTTCCCTGCCCTCCTGAGAATGTGCAAAACAGCTTTATTCACAATCACACACCTTTTGATACACTTCCAAACGTGTGTCTACAGAGGACTGAATGCATAAGTCAGATGTTCATACAAAGAAATCTCAACTGGCAAAGAAAATGAATAAACCACAGCCAGCTGCACCCAGCAAGGTATGTTACTCTTACCAACATGATATGGGGGGGAAACCCACCAAAAACGCATACAGCAAGCTCCAATTTATGTGAGTTCACAACAGACACCAAGGAGGTGCTCTGTAGAGTAATGAATAAACCTAAAGAAGAGCAAGGACATGCTGTCCCTTTAAGTCTGGGTAATTGTTGACACCTGAGCAAGCAGAAAGACCACAAGTGGAGGGCTTTAATTTCTCACAGCTGTTTGGGGTGGTTTTCTTTCATTGTGGAAGAAATAATTTTTTCAGTTTATCTAATATTTTTCTCAGCATTCCTTAGATATCTCCTATTCCCCATTTAGCCTTACTCCTCTCTGTACTTAATTGAATCTTTCAAATCTGCAAAGTGGTTAGTTTAAAACATACCATATACCGATATGGTCTCTCATTAATAGAACAAAAAAAACTTCATTGCCAAATGGAATTAATCATTAACCAACAGGTGTAGGGGTTATGATTATTCTAACGCATTATTTTGTTATTATGTGCCATCAAGTGTAGAATGACTCATAGCAACCCTATGAATAACAGATGTAAGCCCTCTCCTATCTTGTGCCTCACAAACTCTGATACACATTAAATAACACATAATTTTGGGAATATGCAATTCAATCTACACCAGAAGATCAGGCAGGGACATATTTTATTTCTTGTATGGATATAGTTAGGCAATTTTCTGTGCGTGTACTGCCTTTCATTACTTAACAACATCTGTTGTTGTATCTGTGTCATTGAGTTGAGTGAGACTCATAGAGCAACAGACAGATTTAAGATCTGTTTTATTCTATGTCATCCTCATCAACTCTGACATACTTGAGCTCATTGCTGCAGTCACCATATCAATCTGTTTCATTGAGGTTCTCCCTTCCTTTCACTGACCTTCCACGTTTCCAAGCATGATGTGCCTTTCCCTTTCTTTTCTTTTTTTAATATTTTTACTATTAATTTTAATGAAAATTTACAGAGACTTTGGACTTCCATTCACTCATTGTTGCACTTTTCACACTGCCCAACCCTCCCCACCCCAGTACACTCCTCTCTTTGAAAAGTAAAAGAAAAATTCTTTCATTGTTTTACAATCACTCCCCCAAGGTCCACTCCACTATGCAGCCTTCATTCTGGACTCCTGTCATGACAATAATACCCAATCATATATCCCTTTTAAACAGTTCTCTCCCTCATCTGCTTCAATGCGGTATACATTATTTATCCCGTCTTTCCCAGTGTCTCCCCAACCCCAATGTCAGTCCTGTTTTACAACAGTGGCACTAGGAAAAGATAAAATAGGTGAATGGGATCTTCTAAGAATCAAATCCCTATGCACATCCAAACACTTCTCCAACAGAGTAAAAAAGGGAAGCCACAGACTGGGAAAAGACATTTGATAATGACATATCAGATAAGGGACTTATATTAGAATTTATAAAGTAGTTGAGCACCACAACAAGGTAAAGATAAACAATCCAATTGAAAAATGGGTACAAGATATGAACAGACACTTCACCACAGAAGATATTCAGATGGCTAACAAGCACATGAAGAAATGTTCAAAATCCCTAGCTCCAAGAGAGATGTAATTCAAAACAACTGTGAGATATCATCTCACCCCAGTCAGAATACCAAAATTTATCAGAACAGCAAGCAACAAATGCTGGTGAGGTTGTGGAGAAACTGGAACCCTGATTCACTGTTGGTGGAAGTGTAAAATGGTGCAACCATTTGTGAAAGGCTGTATAGCGCTTTCTCAAAAAGTTGCAAATAGAGATACCATTTGAGCCAGCAATTCCACTACTGGGAATATACTCTAAAGAGACCATAACCCACATCCAAGTAGATAATATGCACACCCATGTTTATTGCAGCTTTGTTCACAATAGCAAGGAGTTGGAAACAACCTAAGTGCCCATCAACAAACAAATGGATAGAGAAGCTGTGATATATTCACACAATGAAATACCACACTGCATTGAAAACAAGGAACTCATTCAATATTATTCAAAATGGGTGAGCCTGGAGGACATTATGCTGAGTGAAATATCTCAGTCACAAAAAGACAAATACTGCATGGTTCCATTTCTTTTCTAACATGACCAAAGTCATCCTGGCTTTCAAGCAGCAATCTGATTGCACTTTCTCTAAGATATATCTGTTTGTTCTCTTTGACAGTCCTTGGGATATTCAATACTTTTCTCCAAAGCTACAACTCAAAGATAATGATTCTTCTTCTGTCAACCTTATTTCTTGCCCAGTTCTCAAATGCAAACCAAGTGATTGAAAAGACCATGGCCTGAATCAGGTGCACTTTAGTCTTTAAGCTGACATCATTGCTCCTTACCATTTTGGAGAAACTTTCCTAATGCAACATGTATAAAAATGTCTATAAAATACAAAATTTTTGCTTTGTTGAGGTGTGAGGGAAAGGAGCTCTGAAGGAGTCATGAGCTTTGCAGGCAGAACGTTGGATGAGGAGCAATAATGGGATTGTAGGGTGATGACTTATCAACCATCTCAGCCAATAGAGTAAGACAGGAAGACATACTGCCCTACTTCCTGCCCAGGTTCTGCTGGACTCTGGCCTTGGATTTGAGAACCCTGGAGTCAGACTCCAGGGAAGGAACTTGTGATTTAATCTTGACAAAGTCACCTTTCTCCTCAGGACTTGTTTTCCTTTTTTTTTTTTTTTTAAAGAAAGCGTTGTAACAGCGCATGGTTTTCCAATCAGAGCCTCAGAGACCTCTCCCAGAGGCCCTACAAATGAGAAGCCCCCAAGAGCGAGGCTGTGAAGGGTAAATTCCACTGCCAAAACCTGCCTCACCAGAATGCTCAGTTTATCTCTGCTCTTCAAATGGAATTTCTTTTTTTAATATAATTTTAAGGAAAGTTAGCAGAAAAGCTGGATTTTCATTTATTCATTGTTGCACATTTTCCTCTCTCCCTTCTCTTTCCCTAGTTCACTTTGCGGTGCACCTCTTGTTCTGGACTATTGTCATACGTAATTTCCCTCATCTGTTCCAATGTTCGTTATCTATTCATTCTTTTTCCTAGTGTTTCCCCAACCCCCATGTCAGTACTGCTTTATAACAGTAGTCTTCTACTGTGTTTGTCCTTTTCTGACAGAGATATTTCACTCAGCACAATGTCCTCTCTACAGGGTCACCATGTTGTGTAATGTTAAACTGAATTTCTTAAATGACTTTGTTTCAAGAAAATATTTTACTTATAAAATCAAACAACATCTAACAGTTAAAAGATAATGGAGTGGAAACTATCTCTTTTCTGGATCTCAGATTCTGTGATTATGGTGAGGCCACTCCACAGAACTAGGCTTGTTTTTCCTCAAGTGTAAAATGGGAATGAGATGAACAGATGTCTGTGAAAACGCTGTGTGAGTGATAGAAGACTGCCATATAGCCAACCCTGAATAAAATGCAAAAAGTCCAAAGAGGCCTCTCACAAATTCAAAACTCATTGTTGTCTAGGTGAAACCTATTCATAACTAACTTTCTGCCAGGTTTTTGAAGTCTGTAAATCACACAAAAAG